TTCCAATGAAACTTGTGCTCAAAAGTTTGTGTGTTTCAATGAATGAGCTTCAAGTTGGTCGTAGATTTGACTGATTTCAACCAAGTTTCAAAATCAAAGTAGATGAAATATGGATAAAATCTCATTTCTTTTGGTATATTAATTACATTCAATTCGTTTCAATTCCAAGGAAAGCGGTTGTATCTTGGATTCCGGAAGTTCAACAAAAATACAACCATTATCTTCGCCATAACATTCTTTCAAAAAAGTAGTCTTGCCGCATCGATATCTACCAGACAAAGAAATCGTATCGTGTTGCGTCTTTTCAATTATTTCCTTTTCAATCGTTCGTTCGACTACAAGCAAATTATGCTTAGTTTTGACAGCGGGTTCAGGTACGTTGCTAAATAAATAATCCAAATCGTAGACACCGAGAACATCAAAGTCTTTCCAGGTTACCAGCAACTTTTCTTTTGTTGCTTCATCTATTTGAGCAGCCACGAGAATCAATGAACACTTATCCAAAAGGTCATTTTCCTTCCTAGAAATAGCTTCGCACAACCTAGAGAACTTTTGCACGGAATCAGTATTCAAGAGAGCATCACTGCTGGTTTTGATGTTAAAAACAACCCAATGCCGCTTCCAAGTTTTGTCAATATCACCCAAAGAAGGTGTCCTTTCACGAAGAAGTATATCGGCATCAGTTCCATCGTAAAAATATTCATATAATTCATAGCGATTACTCGGGAGGTTAAGAATATTTCCAAGTTTACGAAAAAGAGCCTCTCCTACAAAGCTACAAATAATATTTTCCATTGCGTACCCCCGGCATCGAGCCCAAGATTTTTCAACAATGTTAGGTCCTTCGTTGTAGTCAGTCCAACAAATTCGAAATTCCTTAGAGCTTGAGAAATACGGAATCTCTTTCAAGAGTCCTCGTCTCACCAGTTGAGAAACATCTTTTTGAAGATCTTGCTGAATAGCCATCCTGTTGACACCAGTTGTTGGAATCGCGTTGAGTAAATCAGCACTGATGCCTCTTTCCCGAAGAGCTGTTCTGGCTTCATCGATACACTTATGTAGTAAATCCTGTGGAAATTTCTCGCCAAGAGCAATTTTGGATCTGGTATCGTCATCCAATTGAGCAAGCATGTCTTTTGCAAAGAACTGTTAAAGGTACGGATCGCCACCAAAGACAGTCCAAAAGTTCAGAACACAAATGGAGCTTACGTCGTCAATTTGGAGTATAGCTCGTATCAGTTGTTTAACTTCCGGAGGTCTTAGATCCGATAAATTGACCCCTGCCATTCTTGCTGAAGCGCTGCCTCCGTAATCAATTGCGTTTTTTCCATGAGGAGGAGTTCCCGTTATTATAAAGTGAGGTCGTTTAGCACCTTCCTTGACAATGAATTCAATGAGTCCAAGGTGTCTTTGTGATTCATCAAATACCACACGCTTAATCCCCTTTTTAAGAAGCGCTCCCATTATCTGACGAAAAAAATCAGAGTTCACATCATAATCACGATGAGGGAGATTATCAAAGTTCAATTGTACGCCCAACGTATCGGCAAGGTATTTACAATAACCAAACCGGACATATTGAACATTTAGATAAGCAAGAGGATTGCGAGAAAGCTTAAATGGCAGCATCGAATTTTGTGCTTTACCGTCTACTGTAAGACGATTAACAAGACTTTGACCAGAATCATTTTTTGATTTGATGACAAGTGAATGGTCGTAAGAACCAACTGGTTCCTGAATGGAGGTCAACAGAGTATTCCCAGCAATGGCTGGACCATCGACCACATAATGGATGGTGAGCTTGTCAGGGTCTATAGCACCAAGTTTCGATGGAAGTGTTTGCTTGATTGCTACAACCAGGTCACCAACACTATCAAGTGGAAAAGACCGCAAAGCAGTCCTTTCATTATTGATATAAATATCAATCCTGACTGGCTGATTGTCAAGATATTGAATGTAGAAATGTTTATTTTCCATTGTAATTGTGAAAGAAAATAAAATAAAAAAAGAAAAGAACAAATAGGACGTGAATTTGTCTCACATTCAACACTCGATATTGTGTGATGAGACAAATTCACACACTTTGAATATTGTTTAGACATTTTTGTGTTTATTTGTATTGTTCAATCGAGTGTCAATTCAACTCAACAATTGATTACGTCATTCATATAATGATTCGAGTCTTTTATTCAACATTTTAATATTCAATTATTGTTAATCAGTCAATTGTTGGATTGGTAAATATGTTACAAAACATGCATTTACATGCTGAATCTGACAAGTGGATGTGGATTGTTCCAATCAACACATGGATTGGATTGACTGCAATATTGTCATTGATTGCAGTCACTGTTGACCAATACATTGTAATACATTGACAGTCTCGATATCAACATTGTCATTCATGTCAAGTTGTGTGTAGTTGCTAATATTACACCACAACAATACTGTTGTTCTTGGACGTATGACAACATATTAATGTAGTATAGTTTTGGAGGAATATCAAAAGTAAAAGATGAGAATGAAGGAATGAACCAATGAGTTAATTGTTAAAGAAATCAGACCTTTGTTGAAGCAATCAAACATTGCCGCTTTACAAGCAAAGCTTAAAGTGGAGATATTATATCTCCACTTTCTCCACTCACTCCCTTAACTAAATTACTATAAAAACCAAGATACTTTCTTACTAAATAAACCATCCTCTGAATATCCTCTGAATCAATCTTCTAAATATCATCTAAATATCATCTGACATAATTCCGTTATTATCTATTAAGTTTAACTCTTTATTCTGTTGACTTTCATTTGCGTGACTACTTCCTGATTATCATTCAAGATCTCTTCTGACCGATCTTTTCTACAGCGGCAGATTATATATTATTACCTTATACTTTACTAATTGAAAGACTCAGTCTCTTTCTATATTTTCTATCTCTATACTTCTTGCGCGATAATCAAAATCTTTAACATTAATTGTGTTGTTTATTGATAAAAGAAAACATTGATCATTTTATAAGAATGTGGATAACGGTTATGCGTATCCGTGAATTAGACGTCATAGCTGAGAAAGTCTCTTGTTATTGCACAAGTGATAGCTGCGATATACATCTCCTCAAACATATATGCGTCGCGTATGAGTCTCTGAAATATCTCGTTGTTTATGATATTTCACATTACCAATGTTTAACAGTTCTGGCACAGTAATGCGGACTCGTGCACCGAGTTGAGTTGTCCAGCAATCGATTTTGGAAATGTGTTTGATGTGATGGTTTGAGATGGATGCCAAATGACCACGAATGTTACCCATTGTCATGACAGTTGATTGTTGATTCAAAACGTTGTTTGTTTGGTATTAATGGTTAGAGTGTCACTCATTGACCTATCAGATCAGCAAGTGTTATTTTGGTGAGTTTCGTGTTTATTGTAGTCACATCAACATCAGCAGGCTGCACTACGGATTTGCTTGACAGAGTTGCAGATCCAGTTGGATTGATAGACGAGCAACTGTGCAAACAACTGTGCGAGTTGCAGGATGTTTGAGATCCAACAAAACACTGCTTGCACACAAGTTCATGAATGCAGATTGTCAGACTTGACCACCAACTCGCAGTATAAATTGCGTGTACGACAGTTTACACGCTTACCCATCAACAATAAACCCACATAATCAGCAAACCGTCAACGAGCAGCCAGCTCAATGGTCGGGTTGATGTTTTTTATTGGAGTTTCTGGATCAAACTTGACCTGATTTGTACCTAGTTGGGTCATGACTACAAGTTTGACAGCAATAGATTGATGTACTAATAATCTGATCGTGTTGTTGATTGTATGCATGTTGGTAATCCGTTGCAGATTGATACGGAATGTGACCAGAATATCACAAAGTTTATTGAGTGTGCACATTGCATTCGATGCAAAACGCAATAAACAAATGCGAGTTGCAGCATTCATTCAAGGTTCAACACCAGTCGATACAGCATTAACCGCAATGGCATGTATGTCAACAATTGCACGATTACGGAATAAGTTGATTGTTGCTTGGCATTCCGTATCGACAGTCTGCATGTGTGTGCAACGTGCTGTTGTCGCATATGAACAACTTGGATTTACTTTGTGGACAAAACACAGTCACTGTTGCGGTGATGTTTACAGTCGTGGAAATGGTTTCGAATACCACAACTGGTATAACAACTGCATGTGTTGGTGAGCAACCAGAGTCCAGTTTGACCAAGATCTGTTCCAGTAATGATCGAATGACATTGTCGTGTTTGGTCATCATGACAACAATGTCATTGGTTTGGCTCAGCAACTGACCAAATGCGCTAGTCACAGCGTCCATATCAGTTTTCAGGAATACAGCTTGCATGGTGAGGTATTTGACTGTTTGTCGCATTTCGTCCATCAATGTGAAAAAATCAACGTTTCCAATCGAGTTCATATTACCTCGAGTTGCCCTGCCAGTAGTTTGGATTGGACTGATACCACGCAAATTGTTGGTCTGCGTGTACACTGACAAATCGTTGTTGATCAATCGCATGCCCACAGATCCAACTACATATACCAGTCGAGTTGCATCAGACGCAGATGCACTGTCTGGATCAATCGAGAACACCTCATATTTGTCACGGATGCATTGGGTGGTCGAGTAAACGGTACTGGTTGATTGATGTGGTGATCTTGCCATGTTTTCAGCAATCATGAGTTTGGTCCAGTCACCACTGCAGAGACTGCAAACACTGAACAGGATCTGGTTGAGTACCGTGATTGGGTCTTATTTTTGACTGTAGTGGATGTTTTGTTATCAACGATTGTTGAACCAGAAACTTGTAACTCGCGCACATACTTACAGAGACTGATACAATCACTCAGTCATGACATGTGCTGTCACATTCTCAATCTATCAACCTCACCGGGAAGCTTACTGCTTGTGTACTGCATCTGGTCAGCCTGTCAAATATAAATAGTTGACACATACCAATAAATAAAACATTAGTCAATCATAACTATACAATTGTATCAATCCAGCACAGCTTGTGCAATTTCAAAGCTAAACTCAAGATTTACACTAATACAACCAACTTACTTTATACCGAGTTTCAAAAGGCGGTTTGTCACACGCCAAAACCCGTTTAGCATAGCTGTATGACAGCATAGATGCTTGAGCATCGGTATAATGCTCAACGGGTCCTGATGAATGGCTAGCCACTGCTGAATCTGGTGCAATGGACTCTGCAGTATATATGGTTGATACTGTAGAGTCGCATTGCTTTCCAGACTGCAGTATCCTAGCTGCCTCAATCAGGGACGAGACTATAATGTAAATGTTTTAAAACAATCCATCAGTCAATATAATCAGTATAGTTACCATCAACACACTACAGCCTAAACAATCCACAATCCACAATACATGCATTCACATCCAAAACTCGTGAGAAATTGATACAAAAATCACACACTTACTTGGTGAAGCAGGGATTCTTGGATCATTGATTGGACTGATTGCACTGATTGGACTGAATGTATACATATCAGTATATATGTTTTCCTGATTTGAACTAGTCAATCACAACATTACAAAATTATGCACAAACAACAGTAAAAGTTTAAAGTAGCATTCAACCCATTGTCCCATAAATCAAATTAGGCATCAACCAATTCAATCCCAAATAATAATCAACCAGCACAGCATACCAACCAACACAAATCACAATTGATACACATCGAATGACGTTCAATGACATTAGATAGCATCAAAAACAGTCAAAATCATTACCATCAAAGTCGCGTAGTCGGAGTCGAATCAACAAAATTAAATTCGGCAACGTTTCGAGTCCATCCCAAAATACCGTAAATGCAATCATCAAATCGTAAACAATACACATGCAAGTAAACAGTCATGTTAGCAATGTGTTGTGTAACCAAAATACAATATTCAGATGCACAACTATAATACAAATACTGTACTGCATACCTTTCTGGATTCATGCTTGCTTCGGCAAGGTGTGGTGCATTTTCACAAGCATTGGTTGGTTGGGGAATAGTGTTTTGCACACTACGGCAAGACTGTTTTGGAGAAAGAGCCGATAGGATGTTGAGACGGGACCACAGTGAATTCATTATTGGTGTTGTAGGGTGTCACGAAATGGAAATGTAAAACGAGTTGATCTCGAAACTTGATAACAATAATATGGGTAGCAGTTGTAATAGTTGCAATAGTTGCTGCAAACTAATACGTTCAAACAAGTAGTGTGTATGACTGTTTAACAAAATACACAAGGGAAGCAATCAGATCTGAGGTTTGGATCAATAGGTGGATGGACAAGTATCTCCAATACCAATCTAGTTTCAACAACACAATAGTCGGTATTTTCAATGAGTTTGATACTCCAGTCAATTCGGTCCTTCCAGAAACAGTGAAATAATGAATGAGGCAAATACATGCCAGATTTTGACGTCATTTCCTGTATATAGCCGCAATAACAATCATTGATATCAGTCGAGTCAATCAATTTGTGTAAAAATGATGTAACGAGTCTTGGACGACCTTGAAGAGACTGAGATTTCTTGAATATCAATATTTTTTGACACATCGATAGTAGTTTGAAAATATCAGATGGTTTCAAGTAGTTGAAGTCGGTGAATATCGATATATTATCTGGTTTGAGTCCAGCAGCAGAGTATGTCAAGTCCATAATGCAGATCCGCATTTGTGTTCCGCACCATATATTGTTGAAGTCATCTTGGATAATAGTTGTGGTTAAAAACGAAAACAGCGACCGAGGAAAATCAAATTGTTCAGCAATGTTGGTGGATTGTTGTTGAACGATAGTCCGACTTTAAAAGACTTGGCATATGTTGCGATTCGTCAAATATAACACGACTGTCTTTTAGGAACCATGATTTCAACTCTTGATAGACTTTACCAAACGCAGACCAAGAAGCTCAGATAGATGTTTGAATATTTTACAAAAGAGTACACCAGTTTGTATACTTGTTTGAATGCATAGCCATGTAAAAGGCTTGAGATCGGGATTTGTTTCACGGAGTGTTTTCAGAACAAATATACGAGCAGAAATCAAACACTGGATCAGTCTTTCAGATTGGTATTCAAACACTGATTGATTCTTGTCCGTCTTTTTGTCAGGTGCAAACTGTGCCAACTTGTCAATCATTGCACTGAAATCAGGTCGATAAAACAGTCAAATACACAATATCGACACAAACCATAGCAGGTTGTTGTTCACATCCACTGACACCGATCATGACAATATTGTGTAGTTGTCAGTCTGTCGATTGACATTTCTATTCCGATTTGTATGTTGCCAGAATAGACTTTTGAATACAAAACATTAGGGATTGTGTCAATGTCTTTGATGTCGATGTTCATGATGGTTTGATCCAGATGAATGGTTTTGATTGAATGTTGGACACACAATAGTTGTGTTCATCATACAAGTGTATTGACTGGACAAGGTTCACAAGAGTGGTTTGTAAAGTGAGTTCATGTCCATTACAGTGTCTAGTGTTGATGATACAGAGTTTGACCAAGCATAATGTATTGGATTTGATGAGTGGATCAGTTCCAGTGGTTCAATCTAGTCCAAGAACAGTAATGGAGTTCCAAGAGTTGTAGCTGGTTTCCACTCCATCAACAACAAAGTGGAAAGTAAGAAGTTGATGGTCGACTGGAATACCAACAAGCCTTTTAGTTGTCTCAATGATGGTGGTTGCGACCAAGTCAACAACAGGCTGTTGTTCAGCAATAGAACCTGTTGGCTTGGTCGCAGATTACAAGACAGGATCACTTTTGGTCGATACACTAACTGAATATCCACTCTGTGATGGATCAAGTCGAGATCAACTACAACGCATGGGACTCGCTTGCTGCACTTGTAGCAAATGGGACTGTTTGATCCAGTCCACTCATCATCAAATCCAAGAATGATGTTGGCTCAAACCCAACAATCACTGGTTCATACAATTCTTTCAAGAAAACTATCCAGATCAATGGTATCAATGTTTCTACAAATCATCTCAAAAGACCTGATCAACTTGACAAACTCGTATACTTGGTTTGAGTATCGGTTTGTCATATTGACTTGTTCATCTGATTCTGCAAAACCTATATTCATTAATATGTATCAACATAGTCTCAAACAAATGTCATTTGGATTTGTTGGACAACATTGCACGACACTTTTGTTGGAAATGCATTGATTGTTCCAAACAACAACGGATAGAATTGGAAAAAGTAAAACTGTTGTTTCTTGATGATGCTCAACAGTAATTACAAGACACAAGTTTATGGAGACTTTTAATCAAAGCATCGCTGAGTTGGTTGTCATTAAGCATGCGATTTATCATTGCATCAAACCATCTTTTTGTTGGAGGAATTTCAAGTCCTGTTGAACTCGGTAGTCTTTCAGGTCTTGAAAAGTGACTTTCTACTTATTCCAGCCAAACTCTGTGAATTCCATGAATTCCATGAATTTCTGGATTTACTCGTTATTGGGTTGCCAAACAACATGAACAATGAGACCTTGAAACATGTTCTTGTAACGGAATGTGATGGTCTTGTTGGTGCGCTGTGTGTGTCGATTGATGATCTAAAAACACAATGTCTAAACAACATTGAACCCACTCGAGCAGATCTACTACAATACTGTCTATCAAACAATTCCATGTCAGATATGACTCGTTGTTTTTGAAGCGACCATTCAGATCTGATTAGAAATGGTTTTAAACTGTTACTCAAGAAATGTCTGACAAAAATCATCGATTGGACAACTTGGAAACCCAGCAAAATATGGAATCTTATTAATCACTCAAAAGGCTGGAATATTGATGGAGTCGTTCGACCTTGAACTTGCTTTTACTTTGCTGTTGGTCAAAAAATACTATTCAAATGGACATTCACAAACTGCTTTCCATCACAACATTTGTCTCTTCAAAAACTCATACGCAATGTTGTCTCATCAATATTGACCAATGTATTGGAATCTGTTTCGTCATGCGGTTTTCCAAATGAAACAACTTTACAGCACATGTTTATGGAGATATTGGTTTACTTGACTAAACCAGACTGTTCAATCTAACCAAAACTGTCAAAAGTATTTCCCAACAACTCGAATGTGACGGACACTATTGCTGGTGGAATTGATTATTATTTGGTCAATGGACTAGCAACCAATCAACACATTGACAGATTTGTCATCCCAAATGGAAACAACGACAATCCAGTTGTAATCCATATTGAGCCTTGAATTCAAATAGTCGTGAATCAAATCATTAATAAACTACAAAAACAGTCCAATATGCCAACTCGCATTTATCCACGACTCGATATGTGATGTTCAAATGTCTAATACTCAGACTGTGCTGATTACAATTGTGGTTGTAATTGTGGTTATGTAAATATCAATCCAATACTCGATTCAATACTTGATTCAACTTGAACATGTCCAGTTTTGTAGTAATCCATTTGATCACATTGACAGAATCAAGCAATGATCTGATTCAACAACACCGAATGATGCATCCATATCACTTGTATCAATCAATTGTACACAATCAGTCAATATAATCAACAATCACTGTCATGATTGGCATGATTCATTCAATTGATTCAATTGCACGAATATGGTCATGGTGTTTCGACTCGTTTGACAGGTGGATCTTTGGCGCCTTTGTGCATGTCGGGCCATGAAACTAGAGGTATGAGCAAAGGTTGGTCCGACATATTTGCCATAATTGTAACAGCCAAAGAATCCGACAAAGCCGACACGCCAGTTATCCTTGGAGCGTATGTTATTAATAAACTCAAAGGTATTCGCTCGCATCCTTACACTACGGACATGAAAATCAACCCTTTGACATATGGCGACCTTAAAACCCGCACAGAGCTGCACGAGGCTGGTGAAGTGTGGGCAGCCATGCTTTGGGAAGTTTACTGGAACTTGGTCACCAAGAGTGGATTTTCTACCAATCTCTACGATGCCAAGGGCAAGGCTGGCAACATTGTTGCTATGCAGAATGTGATGGGTGGATTGATGCATCAGCCATGCAGTCCTAGCTTGGTCAATGCTCGTGATGCCATTATTGCGTCCGATGCAGCCTATTATAATGGGGCCAACAAGTGCGAGATTTGGAAGGGATTCGCCAAACGTGGTCTGGGAGTAAATGCAGCAGATTACACAAACGATTTCTCTGTTCCAGCAGAATGTGGTAGCGGTTCACCTCCACCTTTGACCACTACTCGTGGTCCTAAACCTACTTCTGGATGCACTCGCATGGACATTTGCTGCATCTATGTTGGAAAAAGCTGTGACCAAGACTAAATGCTCAAGTTTAGTAATGGCTTTTACAATTTATTAAATGAAAGTATATTGTAAAAATGTAAACAGTTTGTATTGGTATTGGTAATGATTATTTGGTTAGTGTCAATAGACTAATAGTATACTGTCATCTGGCAGTCGCACTACACTTGCAGGCACGACATTATCATTCGTGTAGTGCAAGTTGGTTTACAGTTTATTAAAAACAAGCTGATTTTTACAAATGATCGATATTGATTCATGGCAGTTAAACATCACTATTCAAACACAGATACAACACTCTTGTTTGAATCTAATAGTCTAATTTTATTATTATTAATTTAGGATCGTCATTTGAGCTTAAAATCTGTTACTTTCCCATCATTTTCCCAAAAGTTGTAGAAAGTTGCACTTTCTTTTGTGCCATAGCAGCCGTAAGCTGCGCTTTCTTTTGTGCCATAGCAGCCGTAAGCTGCGCTTTCTTTTGTGTCATCATCTCGGCTCTGACAGCTTGCTTTTCCTTCAAACGCTGAATTTTGGGATCGTACTTTTGATCTATGCGCTCATCTTTGGCAGCTTTGGCAGCTTTCTTTTGTTCCATACGCTGATCTTTGGCAGCTTTCTTTTCACCTTTTGTCATACTCGGTACTGGTTGTTGATTCGGATCACCTTTTCCCTTGAATACTCCTGTAACACCTTCCTTCATACGACCCCATGCTCCCTTTCTCTGGGGTACTTGGTCAGAACCACCTGGTTGTTGATTCGGATCACCTTTTCCCTTGAATACTCCTGTAACACCTTCCTTCATACGACCCCATGCTCCCTTTCTCTGGGGTACTTGGTCAGAACCACCTGGTTGTTGATTCGGATCACCTTTTCCCTTGAATACTCCTGTAACACCTTCCTTCATACGATTCCATAGCCCCTTTTTCTGAGGTACTTGGCCCGAACCACCTGGATGTTGATTTGATTTGGGCACCTTCTGAATGGCTCTGTTCACAGTTTTTTCTAGTTTCTTTGTTCTACCTTCCAACTCTTTTAACCAATCTCTTGACACCTTATCCAGATGTGAAAATTTTATACTGTCTGGGGGATATTTTGAATAGACTTCCGATTGCTCGGCGCGGTTCATGAACTGTTTTAGTTCCCGCCCATCCAGTGCTATTTTTTCTAAACTTGCTTTTTGTTGTGAATTCAAAAGTGGCTGACCCGAACTGCCCATATTTCGTTCAGCCTGAGCTATGGATTCTTTTGCTTTGTCTCCTATATTTACCAGACCGTCTAATCGTGCTTTTAACTTTGGATTCCAAATTGATTGACCTGAATTTTCAGGCACAGCGTTTGTTGGGTTTTGCTGTATTCCCGACAAAGTTCCTCCATCCGCTATTCCTTGTGCTGTTGGGATTACTGGTATAGGCGAGCGAGCAAACAGATGCATATCTTGTTCTGGTAATTCTAGTGCACGACGCTGCAAGTGAGATTCATGTTCTGAATTAATAGCAGGAGTGGCTGCAAGAGCCATGCTAGAAAACCCAAGAACAATACTCCATTGAACAAGTTTCATTATTCTGTATTGTTTGAAATGTGCTAATCGGCTCTAGTATATTGATTTCAGTGTCGGTATAGTTTTCAAAATGGGACTGCTTGCATGTTTTATACTCGACGAGGAGTAACAGTGGAGTTTGTTGTCAAAGCATTGTCCACATGGATAAACTATTTTAGTAATTACACGAAAGTTTTGTGGTTGTCACAAACTATATGAAAGGTTACAACACGCCTCACAATTGAACCGGACTGTGTCGTCCCATCTATTTATCCCAAGTTTAGTAATCGAGTCTACACAAAGTTGTATTTGACCAAAGGGCGGCTACCATTCACTGAATCCTGTACACTAACGGGCAACTCCAAGACCTGACTAATATACCATTCAGTCAACATATGCTTTTTGTGTCTTGAAACATTGACATTCGACAACCAGAGCATATGGGATAAACTGATTGATTTTGGTGTGATGTTGTCAAGGGATTTTCCTCCCTAAACTCAAGATTGGCTGCTTGCTACTAAACCACATCAGATCACAGGGATTGCTGAGAATGACATGGTCAGGATTAGGGTTGAATGAGTATGTCCTGATGTGATCCTATTGGTCATATAGGACATCACTCGAGCTTCGACAAGTAAAGTTGCATCAGATTGAATTGCATATTCGCCATGCATGATTTTATAGCTATACAAAGTCATTGTCTTGCCAATCAGTTTGCTTTGCATGTGCCAAACTTGGTGTGGTAGATATGCTACTATATAGTACTAGTATCAAAATCAATTGATAAGCATAATGGAGCAGGTTGGTTCAGGAAACGGTGTCTGATGGCTGTAGACTGACAATGCTATCCAGAATCCATTTTCAACAGACTCCAAAACAATGTTTCGACTTTACAGCATCAATGAAACAATGGAATGCCAAATGGAGTATCAAATGGAGACCAAAATAGATGAACTAGCCCAACAATCGGAATGAGATATGATGTAATACATGCAATAAATATACACATGGCTTGTAGCACAGGATCAGTGACTGATATACCGATAATTGCATTCATTTCACATGTATTGAGCAAGTGGGGTAAAACAGATATGAATGGAGTGTATGAATCGTTCAAAACACATTTGGTTTATAAGTGCACCCGCACCTGCAATTGCAATCGCAATCAAGCACTTGGAGTCAAAAGTATTCAAAGCAATATGCTAGATACTGCAGTTCAATTACCAGCAGTGTTCACTTTACAAATCCAACTCTATAATATATCATCAGACAACAGCCAGTAATATTTGCTACGTCATCAACTCGATACATGTTGAGTATCCTGATTTAATCTTACTGCAGATTTAAACTATTTGGCTGATCAACCGACTCGAGTGTTGATGGATTACTATGCCAATCGACTGTTTTGACTCGATATCATCACACTTGACATGCCAACACATGCGACATATGATGGAGTGTGTAATTGCAGTTTGATTGATTCAATGTTGTGTTACGACATGTGTTACAACATCAGTCACCATGTGGGTTATAGTTTGTATATCCAACAACACATTGGAGTGATTGATTGTTGCTCCGATCGATCGAATGTCAATATGTTTGTACAACAGTTTGATACAACAGTTTGGTACAACCGACTGTTCATGGATTATTATCATATGAGTCAATGTTGACCTGATTTGCGATATTCAGTGTTGTTGGAATATCAACACAACATCAACACCAAACATCATATCGACACTGCACGTTGATGTTGATGGTTGAACTACCAACAATGGCTATTGTTCACAAAGTCACCCAATATCCTACCAATTCTGGTTGTGATTGTATTCCACATCCAGTTCTAGATTGTAATCACAATCACAATTACCGTGTTTGATCAAATGGTGTTTTGCATTGATCATGGTATCATACATCACGATACTGCCAGATCACTGCACACAAGTCATGACCAATACAAATGCATTACTGATTGACACTGATCGACCCATAGATGCAGTCAGGCAGTACAACAAATCACCAGCATGCCATTGACCGTATTGCAATACAATTGTCCAACATATCATGATGTATGTTGTATCAAGTCACGACATACAACAATATTACTGAATGAATACAAGTCACAACTGCAAGTATCCATGTGGTAATGAACTGAAATTGCCGTTGATATCCAATTGATTGAATAATCGATCATCATCAATTGCATCAGTGGTTGGTATATGCAACTGATATACACCATGTTCAAGTCTGATACATATCGATATATGCGTGTCAATCAGCAATGCATATTTGTGGCCATTACAGTCGAATGTGAGTCGAGTCGATCATTAAACCAACAAATCAATGATTGCATTCTAAATGTGGTGCGATTTGATGCGACATGACAATATATTGTTCAACATTTCATGACACCATCTGATACATTCAATACATCACACATGAATACATTGCATATACAAGCGGTAGTAATGACCGATCCAAACCAACAGTGGCAGAGTTACACATCAACATATACTCGATCATCAGTCGAGTCTGCATATATCAACTAGTTGCAACACGTCATAATCAATGTGTATTGTATTGTCCACCAATCGATCATGACAGCTAATCAATACCAATCATGTAGTCAATACAATCACCAATATATCGATGATTGTTGACTGGCGGTTACAACTCGTCAATTGCATCCAATGTTACAGGTGATGCACATCTGATTACTGCAAATCAACAACTTGTCAATCATATCATAGTGTGTATTGCCAACGGACCATGCAATTACAAATCAATGTATACGTGATCAACATTTGATATTTGATGGTGATGAACCAACCATGATTGATTGTATCATACAACTAATACAGTTGCATTGTCTGATATTGATGATCGACCCATTCATGTTAAACAGTAACCAATGTGTGTATATCGAGTTTGTGTTGCATGGACACATCAAGGTGTTTGATAACGAGTCCAACGTGATGATACAGACCCAATATTATATGAATATCCAAGTTGATGAATCAAGTCGAGGTTTGCAAAGTGTCAATGTCAGGTCAATCAAACAAGTCAGTCAACCATTATATTGTGACTAGTGATGGCACGGTTTGAATGTCAACGAGTTAGACAGTCGACAATATGTGATAACTGCTATGCGTATGCGTGTGTGATTGCGATTTGGTCAAACCGCAGCACTTGCATAGCACTGAACTGGTTTGATGTGTGTGGTGTAAGCAGTATGCATAAACTCGTTATCATGGACTATAACCAATATACACCACACATATACAGTGGTAAACACCAACGTGTGGTGTATCCAGTGATCGTATACTGGTCGATTGGTGCAATATGATCATGTCACATACTATTGTATTGGTGATAATGTGTTGTCGAACAGGCGAGATCTCGAGTGTTTGCAACATAATTGGAGTGGATGTACAACATTGCTTGTGTATCGTCATGTAATGATATCACCTGGAATGTGCTATGTAGCGGCATCATAGTGCGGCAATATACTCTGGTCACCAATCTTGATATCGGATGCCAAATTAAGCAATGGGCGATTGTATAAAGGGAGGCCTTTTAAAGTTACCCTGACATTCATAGCAGTAAATTAATGCAAACCCCCAATGACACAGATTCCTTAGAGCGGCTATTCAAGGAATATGCTTTTAATATTATCAATCTAATAATGAGTATAAATACAATCCAAAACCGACGTGTTGAATGACATTCATTACAACTTGCTCAACCAACCAATACAATGAAACTATCAATTGCTGTACTGTCATCAATCCTTGCTGTCTGCTCAGTTACTACAGCTGGTCCAGTTTACCCCAGTTCGGCCACAAATGCTGGAGCTAGCACTTCAGCTGGTGGATCTGACTCTCCAGAATTTCCTACAGAAGATGGGCTTATGAAATATTGCAGTCCATTCGGTACTACCCAAGTGTCGTTGATCGAAGAAATTGCAAAAACTCGGGCTAGAATTGAAAAAATGGTGGACAGATTTGAAGGCATACGTCATAACACCAGTATTCAAAGAAAAGTGGTTCTTGAAACGGTGCAAAAATTCGAGTCTCTGAAACAAACTCCGGGTCAGTTGTTGGATAATGCTGAAGCTGAGTATAATCTGCATCAAAAAAAACTTGAAAAACTTGAAGAAGATTTGGAGGACCGTGTTAGGATAGCTTGGAGTAGGATTCATCAAGAAAAGGAGCTCAAGAAAACGCTTATACATAACTTGGCGACTAGAACATTGATGGCTAGTGATTCCTTACTGGGAACAGTTCCCGGATATACTCAATGCTTCCATTATTTCTTTAATCATTTTATAGAAGAATTGTCATAATCCGAGCATGATGCAACTTTTCAATCAGACTCGTCACATTGCTGCAGTTCAAAGTGGGCCATCAACAGTTTCATCTAGAATATACTATAATGCAGCGTGTATTGCATGTTGGTTTACTTGTCATTTGTCATGCATCCAATTCCATTCATTCAATAAACATCGTGTATTGCCAAACCATAGTGTATTAGACTAATGACTTGATCATACTGTGTTGGAATATCCAGACATACTTTTAAGCGGTAACCTGTGGCAAAACCAATTCTAGTAGCACACACTTTGAATCTTCAAATTAAACTCTTCATCACTACTAAGCCATATGTCTCGACTCCATTATCCTCATTTTTGGGATTCGTGCAACCACTAGCGGGTAACATAATGACATTACATTGACATGGCCAACCACAGGAATCGATACCATTGGATAGTTACTTTTGGTTACAACTGCTTATTATCAAGCATTATACTTGTTTGTGTTACAAGCCACAAACAACCAATTACTATGTCAGCCAAGATATTTTTTATCAATAAACAACTTTTTAAACTATTTTGACTTTTTAATTACTTTATTATACCTTTTCACTATTCCTGAAAAGACCAAGTCTGTTGATTTTGGATTACTGTGCAACTTTCATTACACTTTTGATTTGGTTTCTTGTGATAACTAGTAACAGTTGCA